CAGTTAACACATTACATGTTAATATTTTCAAATGAAAAATTTTGTGAGAAGTAGAATTACTCCATATTTTAGCAAATCTGTTCAAAGTCTGTCTTAATAGTATTTAGCTGGATTCAATATAGATTTATTTTTCAGTTTGAATAGATTATTATAGAGGGTCACTTCTCTCAACAATTAATTGGCTACTCCCATGGATATTTTTTCTCCCCAGAAACCTTTTGTTTAAGGTACACAAACTTCATGCATTTCTTAAATACAACTTTAGGAACACAGTGATAGTGACTCTTCCCACCATACCCACTCTCCAACCCCCACTCTTACCTTTCTTCCTCCTTCCTCTCCTATTCCCATTCTTATTTTTTACTAAGATCTATTTTCAATTAACTTTATACGCAGAAGATAACTATACTAATAAAGATTGCAACAAATAGTATGAAAAAAAAAAACTGTTCCTGAACAGTTTGTTGATTTCTCTCTCTCTCTCTTTTTTTTTTTTTTTAAGATTCATTTTATTTATTTGAAAGATAGAGTTACGGGGTGGGGGTGTCTTCCATCCACTGGTTCACTCCCCAAATGGTTGCAATAGCCAGAGCTGAGCCAATCCAAAGTCAGGAGCTGGGAGCATCTTCCGGGTCTCTCACATGGGTGCAGGGTCCCAAGGATTTGGGCCATCCTCCACTGTTTTTCCAGGCACATCAGTGGGAAGCTGGATTGGAAGATGAGCAGCTGGAACTCAAACCAGCACCCATATGGGATGCCAGCACTTCAGGCTAGGGCTTTAACCCCTAAGCCACAGTGCCAGCCCCAATTTCTCTTTTGATTTCTTTTATGACCCACTGTTCATTCAGGATTGTACTCTTCAGCTTCTGTGTGCTTGCATATGTTCTAGAACTCTCAAGTTTTTCATCTCCAGCTTCATTCTGTTGTGGTCAAAGAAGATATATAAGGTATGATTTTGATTCATTTGAATTTGCTGAGACTTGCTTTATGGCCTTGCCCTGACCTGTGGTCTATCCTAGAGAAGGTTCCATGCACTGGTCAGAAGAATGTATATTCTGCAACTGTAGGATGAAATGTTTTGTTGATATCCATTAGGTCCATTTGGTCTGTAGCATTAACTGTTGTTTTCTTGTGATTTTCTGTCTGGTTGATCTGTCCATTGCAGAAAGTGGAGTATTAAAGTCCCCCATTACTATTGTATGGGAGTCTGTGTCTCCCTTTAGATCTATCAACATTTATTTTAAATAGCCAGATGCCCCTGGCCAGCGCCGCGGCTCACTAGGCTAATCCTCCGCCTAGCGGCGCCGGCACACCGGGTTCTAGTCCCGGTCGGGGCGCCGGATTCTGTCCCGGTTGCCCCTCTTCCAGGCCAGCCCTCTGCTGTGGCCAGGGAGTGCAGTGGAGGATGGCCCAGGTGCTTGGGCCCTGCACCCCATGGGAGACCAGGAAAAGCACCTGGCTCCTGGCTCCTGCCATCGGATCAGCGCAGTGCGCCGGCCGCAGCGCGCCGGCCGCGGCGGCCATTGGTGGGTGAACCAACGGCAAAGGAAGACCTTTCTCTCTGTCTCTCTCACTGTCCACTCTGCCTGTCAAAAAAAAAAAAAAAAAATAGCCAGGTGCCCCGTAATTATTTGTGTATACATTTATTATAGTCACATCCTGTGAATTGACCCCTTAATCATTGCACAGTGCTCTTCTTTGTCTCTTTTAACAGTTTTTATGTTGGAGTCTTTTTTGTCTAATATTAGGATGGCTGCACCAGCTCTTTTTTGGTTTCTGTTAGCATGGACTATCTTTCCCATCCTTTCACTTTTAGTCTGTGTATATCTTTGTTGGTGAGATGTGTTTCTTGTAGGCAGCAATTAGATGGGTTTTGTTTTTTTTTTCCCATTCAGCCAGTTTGTGTCTTAACTGGAAAGTTGAGGTCATTTACACTCAAGGTGACTGAGTATAAGCAACAACTTGGCTCTGCCATTTTTCCATAAATATTTCTATTGTTTACTTTGCATTTCCTCTTTTCTTTTACTGGGAGATTTTCTGTCTTTTTTTTTTTTTTTAAGATTTATTTATTTATTTGAAAGTCAGAGTTACACAGAGAGAGAAGGAATGGCAGAGGGAGGATGAAGAAGCCAGGAGCTTCTTCCAGGTCTCCCACGTGGGTGCAGGGGCCCAAGGACTCGGGCCATCCTCCACTGCTTTCCCAGGCACATTAGCAGGGAGCTGGATCAGAAGTGAAGCAGCCAGAATTTGAACTGGCACCCATATGGGATGCCAACGATGCAGGCCAAAGCTTTAACCCACTGTGCCACAGCGTTGGTCCCCATATATGCCATTTTAAGTAGGTCCTTTTATCTCATTTTCTGGTTACTATTGTTGCAATTTTTCTGTTCTTCTTTTTGGCAGTTAATGTTTGTATCCAGAAACCTTATCAACTCTTCTTATTTTGTTTGGGAATTCTTTCAGAGCTTCTCGATACAGACAGTCTTCTACAAATAGTGTTTCTTCCTTTCCAATCCTCCATTCCTTTTGTTTCTTTTTCTTGTCTCGCTGTGTTGACTAGAGCTGACACTATCACAGGCATCTGCAAATAACCACTTGATTTTCATTTTCCAATTCTTATTTTTATTTCTTTATTTCTTTTTTCTTGTCTTGCTGACCAGAATCTTTTATGTGATGCTGAATAAGAACATTGATAGCAAGTATACTTGTCTTATTTGTGATTTTTAAGGATATGTATATGCTGTAGGGCTTTATAAGAGATATTCTTTATGAATTTAAGTATTGTCAAGCCCTAGTTTGCTAAAAGTTTTTAAATAATTGAGTGGATGTTGAATTCTAACACACACTTTTCAGCATGTATTTTCCTCAGACTTGTGTTATTTCCTTCTCTGATGTGTTGAAGGGCGTTCCATTAGTTTTTGCTAAGACAGCCATGCGTCTCTGAGGCCCCGCAGCCGTTCCAGCACGGTTCAAGCCTAGGGAGCATAGCACCTGCAGGCTCAGGGTTCCCCTTTCAGCCACACTTCCCGCAATAGGCCGGACCCCAGCCAGGTACAGCCTTACAGGTCTGCACTTCCTCTTTTTTTTTTTTTTTTTTTGCATTTCATGTTCCAGGTATGGTCACTCGGTCAAGCTGAGGGTGGATGGTTTGCTGAGTAATGTGGGCTATGGTATTTAAAAGACAAGACTGCACGTTACTGACACACACAGCATTTCCCATCTTCTAGAGGTGTCTTATGAATTTGTATATGAGGGAAGGGAGGTAACACATATTCATCCATACAGTTAAGGCCACGTCTGAACTGAATAGACAAAAACCAAGAAGGTGTAAGGGGGCTCATGAGTATCAGCACTCACTTCCTGACAAATCCCAGACCGTGGCTGCTCTCCAGAAGTTTGTGGTTTCCAAGCAGAGCCTGGCCTCTGGACGCTCAGGATGCCCGTGTCGGGGAGTCTGGAGATTTGGCCTCAAACAGACTTCGCAGTTGCACTTCACACTGGGAACAGCACTCAAGTCTCTGAAACAGTTTTTTGTTTCTTTAAAAACAAAACGAAAAAAGATTGATTTGAAAGGGTTGGCCGGCGCCGCGGCTCACTAGGCTAATCCTCCACCTGCGGCGCTGACACCCCAGGTTCTAGTCCCGGTTGAGGCACTGGTTCTGTCCTGGTTGCTCCTCTTCCAGGCCAGCTCTCTGCTGTGGCCCGGGAAGGCAGTGGAGGATGGCCCAAGTGCTTGGGCCCTGCACCCGCACGGAAGACCAGGAGGAAGCACCTGGCTCCTGGCTTCGGATCGGTGCAGCGCGCCAGCCATGGCAGCCACTTGAGGTGTGAAGCAATGGAAAAAAGAAGAACCTTTCTCTCTCTCTCTCTCTCTCTCTCTCTCTCTCTCTAACTCTGCCTGTCACAAAAAAAGGTTACAGAAAGAGGGAGAGACAGAGAAAATCCTTGTATCCACTGGTTCACCCCTCAAATGGCTGCAATGGCCAGGGCTGCCTAAGTTGAAGCCACGAGCCACAAACTCCAACTAGGTCTCCCACATGCGTGACAGAAGCCCAAGTACTCAAACCATCTTCTGCTTTCTCAGGCACAGTAGCAAAGATCAGAAGTGGAGCAGTCAGGACTCAAACTGGGGTTCATATGGGATCCCAGCATTGCAGAACACAGCTTAACCCACTGTGCCACAGTGCCAAATTTCAGCCAATTTGCTTCTTTGTTCATTTGTTGCATTTGAAGTACTCTGGGCCTGAGATTTTTTTTCTGTAGTCCTCAACCACTACACAGCACTATCCACCCACTGTTTTTGCTCTGTCACTTTTACATAGACACTCCATTTTCCCAGCTTCTTGCTGTCATCATCCTTAATGGATGTGGTGTTCAGCCAAAAGATCTCCACCAACTAAGCCTACATTGGCTCATCACAGCTGGACACAAGCACAGAAGGATGGCTTGAGTTTGTCCTAATAGGCTTTGGTAACTTCACAGATTCGCCTCAGGCCCTCATGGAGGAGGGCAGTCTTCAGCACTTTGTTGGAGCAGCGTTCACCTCCATTACACCTCCAGCAGCTGCGTCGTCTTTGGCCTTGTCAGTGGATTATGGCTGAGACCAAATTTTGAACACACCCAGCCCTCTGCCTTCATAACTGGGTGGTGCTTTCCATTGCTTGTAAGCATTGTTACCCATTGTTACCTTAAAAGAAAGTAGCTGGGAGAGTCTCATAGAGACCTGGGGGCCAGAATTTAGCAATTGCACTGGGCGTGCCGCATGTGAGCTCGTCACGTTAATGACCGCACTGCTGATGACATTCTTCAGAGGAGATTCGTTTTTCTACCTCAACCTGCTTGGGCATCCCCAGGTCCAGATTTTCCTCTTGCCGAGTACAGGTGAAACAGGGGCCCTGGCACTGTCAAACCTGAACACCGAGTGAAGCCTGGTGTCTTTGGTAAGGCCTGATACGTAGTACATGTCCAGTAAATCATCGCTGCCTTCTTTTTCCAAACAGATCCCGAATCAGCAAGGTGGAGCTCTTTAGATCCTTCCAGAAGCTTCTCAGCAGCATGGCAGAGGACAAGTGGCCAGACTCCCTCAGGTGACACTGTTGACACAGGGTTTTTCACATTTGGGAAGCCTTCTGAGTCGGCTTATGAGTGACAGGAAGCTTTGGCAGGATGATGGTTCAGCGAGCTGATGGGCACTGTTACTGATCACATCTTGTGCTGTCCCTTCAGCCGGCCAACAGGAAGTTTCTAATCTAGATCGTGGTAGAAATTGTAGACCCTTAGAAAACATTAAACCAGGCCGGCGCCGTGGCTCACTAGGCTAATCCTCCGCCTGCGGCGCTGGCACACCGGGTTCTAGTCCCGGTCGGGGCACCGGTTCTGTCCTGGTTGTCCCTCTTCCAGGCCAGCTCTCTGCTGTGACCAGGGAGTGCAGTGGAGGATGGCCCAAGTGCTTGGGCCCTGCACCCGCATGGGAGACCAGGAGAAGCGCCTGGCTCCTGGCTTCAGATCAGTGTGATGCGCCGGCCGCAGCACGCCAGCCGCGGTGACCATTGGAGGGTGAACCAATGGCAAAAGGAAGACCTTTCTCTCTGTCTCTCTCTCTCACTGTCCACTCTGCCTGTCAAAAAAAATTTTTTTTAATTAATTAATTAATTAAAATAAAGGTAAAAAAAAAAAAAGAAAACATTAAACCAAAAAAGTAGTTAATCCTGTTGAATGTGGTTCTACCAGGACCTAAGAAAACCAGCATTCTGTTCATTATTGTTTTAATCCATGTTGCTTTCTAGTGAATTCCTTACAGTGGAGTCAGAGGTGCTCTAGGAAAGCATAGTAAATCCTCTGTTCTTAAGTTTCTTGTTGTAAATCTGTCCAGAGGTTTGTCTGAGTGTCTTCCTGGCCCCAGGGTGAGCTGTCCAGTGAGCACCTGTGTGCTTGATGGTATGTGTGCACTAGGGCGCGGAAGCTGGAGACCTACCAGGAGCACAAGGAGGCCGCTGCTGCTTACCAGGAAGCCTGGCGCACACTCCGAAAGCAGGCATTTGGACCCTGGATCAGAAACCCACCGGACTATCACCAGTTTAAGTGAGAAGGAAAGGTTTTTAAAATGCTTGCTGGGAGCAGCCTCCTTCCTTTATGCTGGACGAGCCCTGGCTTTTCTGGTGGCTAAATCAGGAAAGAAGAAGAAAAAAGGAAGAAAGAACCTTCTCCCAGAGCACTGTACCTCGTAAGTGTAATACAGATGAAACCCAGGACATGAAGCAGTCTGTACTCGACTGATGTAACTCTCAGCTTAAAATGGCATCTCACTAATGCACAGGTGACTTTAGCATCTGACTTCAAGTTGTGTTTTATGTCTTCTCTGAAATGTAAAATGAGAATTTGGAACATAACACTCCTTAAAAGTAGTCTGCAGCAGCTGTGTTTTATGTTTTCCTACATTGATTCAACCAGAATTTTTGGAACTGAGGTGATGTTTGACTCCACGAGCCTTTCAGCTTTGCCTGGCATAGTGAACATGTATTGTGTCCCCAGCCTTTCTTATGAGGAGCCATCATTGTCCCAGTCCTCAGTGATCCTGCTCTGTCCACTAGACATGGCTGAAGCCAGTCTCACTCTGGCTCAGGAACAAGTCCGGGACAATCCTGAAGTTATTCTCAGAGCTGTCAGGAAAGATCCTTTTTGTGTGGAGCTGTAAGAGGCACATGATCTTGTAACTACCCACAACCGTCTTTTCCTACCACATAGAGACAGCTAGCTGAGAATGAAGATGGCAAAGAAGGAACCAGCCAAGAGAGCCAAAGCTCAAGTGACACTGTTTGGATACCTGCAGCCATTGCCCAGCGTGGACTTCATTTATGTGAGACAAATTCCTACTATTGTGTTGATTTAGGCTGTTTGAATTCTGTCAGAAGGCCCCAAGCTTCTACAGCAAATCAGCAACAGACCCAGCAACCAATCTGTTTAACAACTAATACTTAACTCTCAGCTTCTTCAGATCTGGAGTGATTGACTGAAAATGGAAGTTTGGGTTATTTAAGGTTAGCAATTTTTACAGCTTTAACTGTTTTTTATTAACTGTTTTGAGGTATAATTTATATACCATAATATTCACCCACTTAAAATACACAATATAGTGGTTTTTCATGTATTCACAGAGTTATACAGTCATCAGCTGTAGGATATTTTCATCAACCCAAAACGAAACTTTGTGCCTGTATTAGTTTCCTAGGGCTATCTTCTTCTTCTTTTTTTTTTTTTTTTAGGGCTATCTTAACAAAGTACCATAAACTGGATGGCTTAAAACAACAGAAAATCATTCTCAGTTCTGAAAGCCAGAAGTCCAAAATCAAGTTGTCAGTGGAACTTAACGCTTCTTTTGGAAAAGTTTTAGAGACTAATCCTTCCTTGTCACCATTCCTCATCCCCTAGTGGATCCTGTCAGTCCTTAGTTCTCCTTGGCATATAGCTGCATAACTTCAGTCCCTGCCTTTTTCCACACCGGACCTTCTTGCCCGAGTGTGTCTCTGTCTTCACATGGCCTTCTTAGGAGGACCACAGTCATTGGATTTAGGTCCTCTGCTAATCTGGTCTGATCACATCATAACTATATCTTCAAAGACCTTTTTTCCAAAAAAAAGGTCACATTCTGAGGTTCCAGGTGGACCTGAAATTTTGAAGGAAACTATTCAACTCAGTCCAGTACCCATTAGTATCCACTCTCCTATTCTCATCAACCAGTAATTGACTTTCTGTCTTTTTGGACTTGCCTTTTCTAATATGCTGTGTAAATGGAATCATAGATTATGTGATCTTTTATCACTGGCTTCCTTTTACTTAACATAATGTTTTCAATTTCATCATCTTGTAGCATGAATTAGTGCTTTCTTTTTCTTTTTATGAGATAAAAATAATATTCACTTGTATGAATATGCTGTGTTTTTTGTGTGTAGTCATCAGTTGATGGAGTGCTTCTACTTTTTGGCTTTTGTGACAAGTGCTACTTTGAACGTTCATGTGGAATTTTGTTGTGAATCTGTATTCTTAAATTTTTTAAGTGTTATTTATTTTCATCTACCTGAAAAGCAAAGAGAGAGAGAGAGAGATATCTTTTGTGAAATCTCCCCAGATGTCTGCAACAGCCAGGACTGCCACGATGAAGTCAGGAGCCCAGAACTCCATCCAGGTCTCCCACATGGGTGGCAGGGGTCCAACCACTTGAACCATCTTCTCCTGCCTCCCGGGATGCATTAGCAGGAAGCTGCATCAGAAGTGGAGCAGCTGGAGCCCAGAACTGCCACTCCTGTATGGGATGTGGGCATCACAAACAGTGACTTAACTTGCTGTGCCAAAATGCCCACCTCTTAAATTTTTTAAAATTACCCAAGTAGTATGAGGGGACTTTAACAAGTTCATGGAAATGGTATTAAGGTAAAAATTTTAAATATAAACTTTATTTCTCAACATACGCTCCATTAAGTTCAAGATGTTTTTGCAAGTGATGATATCAACCATTTAGTTCATCCCTAAAAAAACTGAGTGTCCTGGAAATTTAACCCTGTCAATACAGTCTTTGTTATAGTAACTGAAAATAATATGTGCCCTTCAAAGATTTTTTTTTAAGATTAATATGGGCTGGCGCTGTGGTGCAGTGGGTTAAAGCCCTGGCCTGAAGCCCTGACATCCCATATGGGTGCTGGTTCGAGTCCCAGCTGCTCCTCTTCTGATCCAGCTCTCTGCCGTGGCCTGGGAAAGCAGTAGAAGATGGCAAAAGTCCTTGGGCCCCTGCACCCGCGTGGGGGATCCGGAAGAAGCTCCTGGTTCCTGGCTTTGGATCGGCGCAGCTCTGGCCATTGCAACCATCTGGGGAGTGAACCAGTGGATGGAAGACCTCTCTCTCTGTCTCTACCTCTCTGTGTAACTGTGTCTTTCAAATAAATAAAATAAATCTTTAAAAAAGATTAATAAACAAAAGAAGTCATGAGCCAAATCAGGACTGTAAAGCAGATGCCTAATAATTTCCTATGGGAACCCTTGCAAAATGAGAGCAACAAACGGAAGCATTGTAGTAGTGGAAAAGATTCTATGATGACGCTTTCCTGGCATTTGTCTACTAAAGCTGTGGCTCAGTCTATCGAAACACTCTCCTGACAAGTGTTGTTATCATTCTTTGGCCCTCCAGAAAGTCAGCAGTCAAAATGTCTTGAGCATCCCAAAAACCTGTTGTGTAACTTTCACTCTGACTGAACTACTTCTGCCTCTTGAGAGCCATTGCTCTGATGGTGTTTTTCTTCAGGATCACATTAGTAAAGTTGTAGTCCACTTTTTGCTACTTTAACTCAATACCCAGGAGGTGCTTCTTGGGAAAGAAAAGGTTTATTTCAGCTTACAGTTTGGAGGTTGCAGTTCAGCATCCGGCCGCCCTGTAGCCCCATGTCTAGTGGCAGCAGATCACGGTGGGTACATAGGAACTATCACACAGTTAGCCAGGAAGCAGAGGTAGAAGCTAGACCAAACTTGTACTCAAAATAACCAACTCTCTTGTAAGAGCCAGTGACCTAAACACCTCCCACCAAGAACCACTTCTCAGATGCCATAATTGGCATCTCCATCCTAATTCCATCAACCATTAACAGTAAAGCATCAGAGTTTTAAAAATGTTTTGCACAGTTTTGGGAAGACAACTCCTACTTAACCTGTAAGAGTGTGTTTCATATCCTTTTATATTTCTCAGAGGAAATGCTTCAGAATCCTCGTCCCGCTTATTTAAAATTTCTGTTGAAAGGTCTGCTCTTGTCTGAAGTTGATCTGGGTGCAGCAGTTTTGGCAGCCTGTTATCTGAAAAGTTTGCTGCACTTTAATTTTTCAATCAGAATTGTAGAAGTTAAACCAATGTCTGTGGTGTTAGCCGTTGTATGTCTGCAGTCAATCATCAGTCCTTTTCAACTAAGACATAAGCAAGAGTAACGATTCCTCACAAATTGATTTGGGTAGTCTGCCACAGCAGGCTTCGTCTTCAGTAGCATCTCACCCATTTTAAAAAGAGTTATCCAGGGGCCAGCACTGTTGCACAGTGGATTGAAGCCCCGGCCTGTCGCACCGGCATCCCACGTGGGCGTTGGTTCGAGTCCCAGCTGTCTTACTTCTGATCCTGCTCCCTGCTAATGCTCCTGGGGAAGCAGGGGAGGATGGCCCAAGTCCATGGACTCCTGGACCCACATGGGAGATCTGGAGGAAGCTCCTGGCTCCTGGCCTCATTCAGCTCATCTGTGGCCATTGAGGCCATTTAGGGGAGCAAATCAGCAGATGGAAGACCTCTCTGTGTCTACCTCTCTCTGTAGCTCTGTCAAATAATTAAAATAAATTAAAAAAAAAAAAGAATTATCAAGGGTAAAGCGTCTGCCTGTGACACTGGCATCCCGTATGGGTACCAGTTCATGTTCCAGCTATTCAACGTCTGATCCAACTCCCTGCTAATGTGCCTGGGAAAGCAGCAGAAGACAGCCCAAGTATTTGGGCCCCTGCACCCACCTGGCACAGCCCTGGCCATTGCAGCCATGTGGGAAGTAAACCAGCAGATGCAGGATCTGTCTCTGAAACTTGGACTTTAAATAAATAAATAGATCTTTAAAAAAAAAAAAAAAGTTATCCAGGTGCCAGTGTTATGGTGCAGTGGGTTAAGCCACTGCTTGAGAAAGCAGCAGATGATGGCCCGAGTACTCGGGTCCCTGCCACTCACATGGGAGACCCTGTCGAGTTCCTGACACCCAGCTCTGCCTGACCAAGCCCCTGCCACTGTGGCTGTTTGGAACATCAACCAGCAGATGGAAATTTCCCACCCCTTCCCCCAACCCCACCGCCTCTCTTTCTCTCTCTCTCTTATTCTATCTTCTGGATAAAATAAATAAAACTTTTTTTTTTTTTAATTTTTTTTATTTTTTTATTTTATTTTTTTTTTTTTGACAGGCAGAGTGGACAGTGAGAGAGAGAGAGACAGAGAGAAAGGTCTTCCTTTGCCGTTGGTTCACCCTCCAATGGCCGCCGCGGCCAGCGCGATGCGACCGGCGCACCGCGCTGATCCGATGGCAGGAGCCAGGAGCCAGGTGCTTTTCCTGGTCTCCCATGGGGTGCAGGGCCCAAGCACCTGGGCCATCCTCCACTGCACTCTCGGGCCACAGCAGAGAGCTGGCCTGGAAGAGGGGCAACCGGGACAGAATCCGGCGCCCCGACCGGGACTAGAACCCGGTGTGCCGGCGCCGCTAGGCGGAGGATTAGCCTAGTGAGCCGCGGCGCCGGCCAAAACTTTTTTTTTTTTTTGACAGAGTGGATAGTGAGAGAGAGAGACAGAGAGAAAGGTCTTCCTTTTTGCCGTTGGTTCACCCTCCAATGGCCGCCACAGCTGGCGGGTTGCGTCCAGTGCACCGCGCTGATCCAATGGCAGGAGCCAGGTGCTTCTCCTGGTCTCCCATGGGGTGCAGGGCCCAAGCACTTGGGCCATCCTCCACTGCCTTCCTGGGCCACAGCAGGGAGCTGGCCTGGAAGAGGGACAACCAGGACAGAACCGGTGCCCTGACCGGGACTAGAACCCAGTGTGCCGGCGCCGCAAGGTGGAGGATTAGCCTATTGAGCCGCGGCACCGGCAAAATAAATAAACCTTTTTTTTTTTTTTATCTTTTATTTAATGAATATAAATTTCCAAAGTACGACTCATGGGTTACAATGGCTTTCCCCCCCATACTGTCCCTCCCACCCACAACCCTCCCCTTTCCCACTCCCTCTCCCCTTCCATTCACATCAAGATTCATTTTCGATTATCTTAATATACAGAAGATCAGCTTAGTATACCTTAAGTAAGGATTTCAACAGTTTGTTCCCACACAGAAACATAAAGTGAAAAATAATAGATGATTTTTTTTTAAATGATGATGAAATCAGATCAGACCTATTGTCATGTTTAATCCCAGTGAGAGTCAAGTTGGGAATTGATAATTTCTTTTTTTTTTTTTTTTACAGAAGATCAGTTTAGTGTACATTAAGTAAAGATTTCAATCGTTTGCACCCCCATAGAAACACAAAGTGAAATATACTGTTTGAGTACTCGTTATAGCATTAAGCCTCAGTGTACAGCACATTAAAGACAGAGATCCTACATGAGGAGTAAGTGCACAGTGACTCCTGTTGTTGACTTTACAAATTGACACTCCTGTTTATGGCCTCAGTAATCTCCCTATGCACCAGTCATGAGTTTCCAAGGCTATGGAAGCCCCTTGAGTTCTCCGACTCTTATCTTGTTTAGACAAGGTCATAGTCAAAGTGGAGGTTCTCTCCTCCCTTCAGAGAAAGGCACCTCCCTCTTTGAAGACCTGTTCTTTCCACTGGGATCTCACTCACAGAGATCTTTTTGCCAGAGTGTCTTGGCTTTCCATGCCTGAAATACTCTCATGGGCTTTTCAGCCAGATCCGAGTGCCTTTAGGGCTGATTCTGAGGCCAGAGTGCTACTTAGGACATCCGCCATTCTATGAGTCTGCTGAGTATCTCACTTCCCATGTTGGATCACTCTCCCCTTTATTTATTCTATCGGTTAGTGTTAGCAGATACTAGACTTGTTTATGTGCTCCCTTTGACTCTTAGTCCTTTCATTATGATCAATTGTGAACTGAAATTGATCACTTGGAATAGTGAGATGGCATTGGCACATGCCACCTTGATGGGAAAATAAATAAACCTTTAAAAACATTTTTTTAATTTAAAGAGTTGTCAGTTGGTAAACTATTTCTTTGAGATATTGTCCCCATAAATGTTCATAAAGCATCAGTGGTTTCACCATTGTTTGATCAAGTTTCGCCGTAAGTTCGATGTTTGTTCTTCAGTTTTAGCTGAATTCATGTTGCTCTGAAAAGGGGTCTTTTCAAACTGATACTTTAT